CAGAATTCCCCAGCCAGCGAATGCTGGCTGGGGAATTCTGGGAGTTGAAGTCCAGACATCTTCAAGTTGACAAGGTTGAGAAACACTGGCATAGAGTGCAATAAAAACATTTGTAAAAAAATGAAACATTAAAAAAATGAATTCTAGCACTATGCAAATGCAATCTTTATTCAAACAAGAACAATGTTTCCCAAAAGTAAATCTAAGGAGCTTTTTGAATGATTGAACGTTTTTATATTCCTTGATATTTTTCGCTATGCAGAACTTCAGGTCAACCCACCAACGTTGGCAGGACAAATTACTGTATATAAATGATGTTGTCTATTGGAGTAATGTCTGCAAGCAAACAATCAAGGTCAGAGATCACCCAGGGCTCACAATTCAACCTAAGCTATACAAGTAGTCCTCAACTTACAATGATTCATTTAGTGACCGTTCGAACTTACAATGGCACTGGAAAAAAAATGACATGACTATTTTTGCACATTGATGACCCTTGTAGCATTCCCCAAGCATTCAGATGCTTCTCAACTGACTCCCATTTACGACGGTTGCAGTGTCCTGGAGTCATGGGATCCCCTTTTGCAACCTTCTTACAAGCAAAGTCAATGGGGAAGCCAGATTCACTTAACAACCGTGTTACTAATTTAACTACTGCTGTGATTCACTTAACAAATCAGGCAAAAAAAGCCGTAGAATGGGACAAACTCACTTAACAATATTCACTTAGCAATATAAATGTTGGGCTTAATTGTAGTTGTAACTCGAGGATTATCTGTATATATATATATATACATCAAGGGCTTTGCACTTTAGATCTTTTCATCAAGTTCAATGCAATAATGGAAGACTAAATCAAAACAAGACTTGTGTTAATTTATTCTGCCAGTAAGGACATTTTGATCATGCCAAAACAGATTACACTATAAGGATACAACAGACTAGAGATTTGCTGCCACAACTAAACATTTCTTTAATACGTCTATGTTCATACAGTTTAATTCAGGATTTTTACCACAATTTACTGACTAAAGCAAAATGTCTTACTTCATTGTAATTCTAATTTGAAACAGACTATTTTGATTAGCAAGATGTGTGAATCAAATAAACAAACTGTTGGCTTAGCACAATCTATTTCAATTAGACTAACACATGGCTCCATTTTAAATGCAGGTAGTGCCAGAGCCAAGGACATTTTCCCCACCACCACTGTTCTAGGTACCGGAAATATCCTGAATGTGCTGTATGTTTTTAAATGGTTGCTGTGGGCATCTGAAAGCAAACGTTTTCCCAAAAGAGGAGCAGAAGATGTCAATGTTTATACACAGGATTCCTTGTGTGGTTAAATTGTCAACTATAACAGGAATTAGATTTGGGTAACTCAGATTGTCTGGTTTGTGTCTGTACAGCCACTAAATAGGACAGGTACAAACGTCAACCAATAGTTAGGACTGCAGAAGAAGCAACTGCAAACAGCCTTCCTTCCGTTGAGGATCTGTATACTATGAGAGCTAGAAAGGGGGTTGAGGAAATATCTACAGACCCTCCCATCCTGGACATAATATATTTCAATTTCTCCCCTCAGAACGCCACTATAGAGCACTGCATTTGTATGTATTTGTACGGGAACTTATGCACCAGAGACAAATTCCTTGTATGTCCAATCACACTAGGCCAGTGGGTATCAATCTTCTTAATGCCGCGACCCTTTAATACAGTTCCTCATGTTGTGTTGACCCCCAACCATAAAATTATTATATGTTTTTTTGCATTTTTTCGAAAATATGTGTTTTCCGATGGTCTTAGGCGACCCCTGTGAAAGGGTCGTTCGAGCCCCAAAGGGGTCCCGACCCACAGGTTGAGAACCACTGCACTAGGCCAATAAAGAATATTCTATATTCCATCCCATCGAAGTGCTTCAGCATTTTAACGGTTTCATCAGCCACAGGTCACCTGGGCAGAAATGAGGATGGAAAGACAATTGCAAGCAATGGGAGAGAAATACTTCAGCACCTCAGGAACAGATTTACATTTTGTCAAAGGATGGGCTCAAGAGAGAGAAGCCTTTGAATACTTCGCATTCAATGACTTCCCTTTCTTTCTCTCCTGAAAACCAAAGCTTTACAATGAGGGAGAGCTGCAGTTATTTCCAAGGGGCACAGGAAAAATAATTCAGTGTTACATTAGCCCCTCCAAAACCAGGCTATTTTCTCTGCTTTCATTCTGTGGTCCAGAGGGCAGCAGCCTAAAACACAAATTTTCCTAATTTTCCTTAGGCAACAGATGCATTATACCAGGGGTCTCCAACCTTGGCAACCTTAAGACTTGTGGAATTGTGGAAGTCCACAAGTCTTACAGTTGCCAAGGTTGGAGACCCCTGCATTAACTATACATGGCCTCCCAGCACCCCACTTGTGACTCAGGAGTTCCCTAAAGAAGCCAAAAGCAAGATGGTATTTCCTATTTGGGGGTGGGGATAATGTTTCTGCAAAGGCCATTGCTTGACATTACCATCTGGTTCAAGCCTACTTAACTTAAGCTTAAGGGTGCTTTCTTATATTGAGCTACTGGTACTTTCATTCACTGACATGCAACAAAGATTCATGAAAAGATTTTTTTTTTTTTAACTTGCATCGAAGTTCTGAAACATGCTCTGAAAATGCTACCTATATCCATCTGTACTTGTCTAACCCTGTCTGCTTGGAATGTGTTTTTATTTCAATCAGCCTTCCACGTATCTCCTTCAAATGGAGCGTGGCCCTGATGATTCATGGATTTGTTCATGATATTTTTGTGTCAGCCAAATTGGTTTGCTATTGGCGTTCCTCCACCTCACAAGCCCTGGCATCTAAATATGAATCAGAAAAGGTGCTGCTTAGCTCCCAAGCTCAAAGTCAAGCCTGTGCATCAGGGAGGCACAAAAATAAAACTTTCAGTTTGAGCTGGTGACTATCTCGAAAGATCTGTATAATGATATTATGAAAATGGTGTTCCACTGCCTTCTTCTAGGGTGTTTTTGTCAAATTCAAACATCAGCATTGGTATTATCTGGAGGACTCCTATCCAAATAGCAACAAGGTTAAACCATAATTAGTTTCAGAGCCAACAAGACCAACCAACCCCTGCTATTTGCTCAAAAAGCTTTATCTCCACTTATTAATTTTACTTTTAATGTATTTATGGCTGGGTGCTCCAATACAATCAGTGCTCATGATGTTACCATTAAAACACCATATTACAGTAAAATAGCGTTAAAATACAAGAACATGATGAAATAGCAAATAGGCTCAAAAAGCGCGTAAGAAAAAGTGTTCATTTCAAACCCATTTGCAGCAAAATTGAAGGGCTAAAAGATGCCAAATGAGGAAATAATCTGGCATCCTGTGCCAAGCAATTTGAGAACCTAGGAGTAGCCAAAGCTCCCACAAGCTTCAAACTTAAACTTATATGTTTAAGAAATGTGGCTTCTGAAAATTCTTGAAATGAAATTGAGAATAGCCACTACGAGGGGTAGACTTTAAAATAACCAGTTCTCAACTTTTACAAGTCACATATAAGATAACCTTTATTATCACTTTTTACTGTGAACACACAAACAAATGTGTACACACATACACTCCCCCTCACAGGGATGGATGGATGGATGGATGGATGGATGGATAGATAGATATAGATATAAAGATCAATATACAATATTTCCT